TTTAATCCGTAATGAACAGGAAACTGGCAGCAGAGGCAGATTAAATAATCATTTTTATTTTAGTAACTTGTTGCGGCCACAAACAATTTGCCACACTACTTGTGCCTATTTTAAAATGGTTACAGTTTTGATAATTTTTGCGCTAAGAAAAGAGCAGCAAGTAGAAGTTCAGCTAGGCCGAAGTGTAGAAAGGAAGTGCATTTGTGTTTAGGGTGAAATCGTAATTCAGACCGAGTTTATTTTGTTTAGCAATGTAGCAATGTAAAAGAGATTACTATTTTCAGAATACAGAGCGGAATACCAAATTAAACATTAAGGGGCTATTGTTAATTTAAATTATAATTTATCTTTTAGGTTTTTTTAATCTTACACACACGCATACATTATATATATATATATATCGCTGTTTTTAACTCGTACATTTCAATGTGAGAAATATATATTTCTCAAGCGCATTGATTAGGTGTATTTTTAGGTAAAGTGAGTTTTAGTTTTCAATATAAAGTTTAGTAGCTCTTATTATAGAGCTTGGAAGATCATTGCTTTTAAGGGACAATAAAAATCATTACTTTATCGAGGCAACTGCTATTAGTAAATCTTTTGCTATTATATGCAATAGATTATGTCAAAATAATTTAAATTTTCTTATAAAATCATTAAATGGCCTATAACAACTATCATAAAGATAAATAATGGATCTATTTATTAACTGTAAAAACAGAGGATCAGACATTTTATGCTCATTTAGCTTAGTTTGTTGTTATGACAAAGGATTCTAGAACTTTTATATTTTTCATATTTCAATTTTAATTATGAATTTTTATCATCTGACATATTTACTACTAAATTATTCCGTTTACATATTGTTCATAAGCTATAATGACGTCACGTTACGAAAAATGATAGGTTTTAATTAACTAAAACAACATTTAGATTACAGAGATTCGAACCTATAATTGTATACAGAAATCTTTATTATATGCGGCTTAAGTGCCTGTTTGTCGCGGATAGTTTATTGGTTGCTTGCGTAACTGTACTAGCCAATTTTGGTGAAGTTGCCACGGCATTCAAATAGTCTATATACACTGATACCATACATGCAGTTATCATTGTTTTAATTAAACTAGAAAGCCCGGCGGTCATACGAAATGACCGCCTGTTCTAGATATTATAAATTGTAATTAAAATGATTTTAGCAAAGGTGTCTGCTAATTCAAACTGAATTACGGAGGGCAGGCGGTGAGGACGCCCCTTTGCTTACTGCCTCACGGGGTTTCCCCCTTCTACTTGCTTAATTACTTAAAGTAGAGTGCAATGAAGGGAACCACTGTCGGTACATTTCTTAAGAGCCACCGCTAGCTCAATCAATAAAGGTGATTTAAATAATAAAATGTTAATTCACATGTCAAAGATCTCTTTGTACACAACATTTCTTGTGTAGATCTTTCCATCATTTTTAAGCTCGCCATGCAGAGAAGCATCAATTATTTTTAATTTTACGTCCGTTCTTTCACGAACTCTTGAACAGGCTACATACAGTTGACCGTGTCCAAATGCAGGCTCAGGTAAAAAAATGCCAACACGCTTAAGAGTTTGGCCCTGAGACTTATTGATAGTCATAGCAAAGGCAAGTTTTACAGAAAATTGTCTACGTCTCAATTGAAACGGCAACTTCAACCTATTGGCTAGTACAGTTACGCAAGCAACCAATAAACTATCGGCGACAAACTGACACTTAAGCCGCATATAATAAAAATATTTATTTATTTCATTTTATTTGTTTTTTCATCATTGCGGTTTTTGCCGTTTGCATTATTTATTAAATGTTAAATGCACGTGCTCTTGTATTTTTAATTTTTCCGGCTTAGCTTTCTCATAATATTCGTCACGGGCTACACTACACGGGGAATAAAACAATTTACAATTACGCAAGCAACCAATAAACTGTCGGAGACAAACACTTAAGCCCCGCATATAAGGCAAGCAACCAATAAACTATCGGCGAGAGACACTTATGCCGCATATATATATAAGATTATCATGGTATTTAAGAACATTTAAATATTTTTAATTCATACAGTTGTTGCTTATTATGCATTTATTTATATGAATTACCTAGAAACTTGCAGACGTTGAGAAATTAAAGGAGACGAAACCAACTAACGAGTTGCGCATAGTACATCTCTTCAGGTAGGTTTACCCAAACTCCTATGCTAAATATCCTTTCGTGTAAAGAATTTAAAATTTTGCCCGATTTTATTCCGACATTGTATTTTAAACTGAATGCAAATTGAACGTGTCAGGGGCAACGTGAACATTTGTTTGCATTAGCAATCATCTGTTTAGAATCAATTTATAATCATCAATTTATAATATCGTAAACAGCGGTCATTTTGTATGACCGCCGGGGTTTCTAATATTGTATAACTGTAAAAAATAGCAGCTGAAAAACAAATGTACCTTAAGCACAATAAACCAGTTCAGAATTCCAATTAATTGTAAAACATACCATTTAATTTGCATAAATTCACGCCAGTGAGACCTAAAACATGTCACATTTCGGGACCTATTTAAAGAGTTTTAGGTTGATTTCTGTTATCAACAATTTTACTTAAACACTTTTTCATTTGAATCCTATGCTTGATTACTATACATCAGTTGGAAATAGCTACACAACTCAAATGGAAAGAATCAGAATTAAAAATTTAACAATTTATTTGTAAGATTTATTATTTAAACCAATTATTTATAACTTCTCCTTTCCATTTCCTCTTCAGAATATAAACTGAATTAGAGAGTATTTAAGCTGTGGTTTTTGGATTGTAAGACAAAGCATGTTTCTGCCCTGGTAGCCACGTTACGTAGTTTCTACCACCTCTGCTAAGTTTTTAATTACTCGGATTTGCGTTATTGCTGCCGACATTTGAGTTGTTACGCCGGTTAGAGTCTTTGAGCCAGCTTAGGTTTAAATTTAATTGTGTAGTTTTTGACTACTAGTTTTAAATTTGAATTTTATTGTTACTTTAGTAATATCACGACAAGTGGTTGTTGCACAAGAAGGGCATTTGTGTTCAAAGTTCTGTTCTAATAAAAGGTTATTTAAACCTATTCAAGTCTCCGGAGTTACTTCAGATGTAGCGATAATTCGCTTTACATCTGTTAGAGGTCTGGAGCTAGTTATGCTCCCAAAGCAAGCCAAACTCTACATATGTATTAACAAGACTGTAAAAGTGTCAAATAATTATTTTCTCCTGTCATTAAAATCTTCCTAAGCAAGCAAAAAGGAAATAATCATTGAATGATGGAATAATCATTTTTCGCATCATTTCAAATGATACAAGCAATTTTACGTAGGGCTGGATTTTGAATAGTGGCATCTCTTCTGTTATGTGCCATGAATTGGAATTAGTGCTTCTGACATACATACTGTATATTAATTTGCTACTTAATCAGCTTTAAAATAAATGGATGCTCTTTTCCAATTCTAATTGCATGAGCAATGGCAAAAAGAATAAGTTGGGAGTTTAAAGTTGTGTTAACTTTAAATTTCTGAAACAGGAACAGCGGTATTATTAGAATTACTGGTATTGGCTAACAAAAGGATGCTGCTAAAAACTTTTTGTAGCACTATATTAAGAAGAACGACTCTCTTTAAGCTGGATGAGACGTAGGGTAGATCCTACTAGAGTCAAATATTATGCCAATCGAGCAAGTGGCTAAATCATTAGAAGTCATCACAAAAATGTGAAGGTTATGATGATTCTCATATACAGCTGCCTTAATATTATCATAAGATATACCATACGGTAAGAACTAGCCGTCAATGTAGGATATTACTGTTCATTTTTTGAACTTAATATATGAACAGCGTTCCAAAACAAGTGGCGCCACATTCTGAAGAATTGTTCCATCATTTTGCAGCGCAATGCTCTAGCGCATTTAAAATCGTGATTTTTTAGCAATCTATCTTGATTTGTTTGCTCGATAGGGCAAAGAAATATTCTACCATCCACCCAATTACAAGAACGTAACCTCCGGCGATTCTAATTTGATCTTTGGGCAAAGGAACCATTTCGTTCCCGACTTCCACGTTGGTAATAACTAGTTCTAATCAATGATAATAACTATAATCGAGAGACAATAAAAGTTTCGCATATGTATTGTTTTTGCCTGTTGTAAATAAACAGTTGCCATTCTTCAGATTCCCAACTCTCATACCATGAATAACCTTCTGATTTAGAAGCTATTATAATTAAAGTGTTATTTATAGACTTAATCAAACTCAATTTTAGACAAGCATATCCTGCCCTGTTTACTGCGTATTTGAGGTACATAAAGAAAAAAAGAAACATCTAAGTATTAGAATGACAATAAAAACTTTATGTTGAATGTTATGTTATCTCATGAAAGTATTCCCTCTCCAGTGCATCAATTGCAATGACCCATGATAATTTGATGTGCTATACCCGATCACAAACTTTATGTTAAACGTCAAGTTATTTCATTCAATTATTCCACCTCCAATACATCAATTACAATGCACCAGATGGTTTGGTAACACTTAACCTATAACACACTAACTACACACTAACCCTATGCCTTTTGAGAACCTTAAAGATGTTGCGATCGCGCAGGATTTGCTCACAACAAGTCACAATCGAAGTTGTGAGGTACGTGAAGTTTTGTCTTGTAAGTGTTTGCTTTAAATGGCTAAAGGAAATTCTAAATCTATCTTCGTGAGAGATTGTTAAATACTTCAGGGAGGTAACTTCCCAACACCCATAGGAATCTCTGCATGAAGCACCAGTAGGTAAGTAGACCTTGCTAAACCAGTTAAATAGGGGAGTTAAAAATAATCGTAACATACAAAAATATGCATATAGGTAAAAATATAACCACTACATGAAGCTACGAACAATTAAAAACTTTATCATATTTCTAATGAAAATGTTTCTAATTCTCATGCGTCTTTGCACAAAACAGAGGAAAGATTTTCTTACCTGGATAAACTCAGCCTGTCCAAATGATGACCGACTTATTTCATATAAAGTAATGTTCCTATGAAGTACGTGGCGAGTTGGCCGAATGTAAACCCACAAATGGGCATTTTGTATTTGAGCGTTTCGTAAACTTGTCGATAGTTTGAAATAGAGCTGCTTATCTCCGCTATCTACATCAACTGGCTCCGGAGCTATGGAAAAAATTCAAAATTTAAAAATATATACATAAAAAAGTTTAATGCAATATATATATATATATATATATATATTATATATGTTGTTCAATAACATTAATATCAAACTTTCTAAAATTAAGAAGCAAGTGCTTTGTTCATTCAATTCAATCACCACTTCGAAAATAAATGAACGGCGAGCCGCTAGGTCCATTGTAAATAAATGGTATAGAAAGGGTCAGTCCTCTCACCAAACAGCGTTTTCTACCGTGGATTGCCGAAAGTATTACTGGTTATACGAACCACAAAATTTCCAGGGCGATGGATTGGTCAAGGTGGTCCATAGCTTGGCCATCAAGATCACCGGATATCTCGTGTTTGGACTTTTCCTGTGGGGCCACATGAAAAGTCTGATCTACGAATGCGGCATTGAAACCAATATGGATCTAGTCGCCGGAATCACCGTTGTTGCTGGCGATATTCGGGAAATGCCTGGTGTCTTCGCAAATGTGCGTCAATCCCTATCCCGCAAATGTGAAGCCTGCATTACAACTGGCGGAATGTCTTTTGAGCAATTTCTATGAGCACGTTCTGTTAACAAAATGTTTTCTGAAGTATCTCCTCTCATTCTTGTGTTAATTCTTTAAATATGACAGTGGAAAACTGCCCTGTAACTTCTCACTGCTTGCTTTCCGACCATACATTCCATGACGAATATTGCTTGTACAGCTAGCTGCCTTGTATCACCCTCTAAAGTTTTTCCCTCTTGCTCAGATTTAACCTGTATATATCTATAAGATCAAACTGTCAGTTTTAATCTTCAGACAGTAGTACGTTCTTATATACACATGAAAGATTTTTCATAAATCATGTATTAGAAGGCATATGTTAAAATGAAGGTATTAGGATATTAATCCTGGAAGTGGCTTTATAATAATTAAAGACAATTAGTACATAATTAAAAGAAAAACAATGAGAAGTCGGTAATCATTGCAATCTTTTTTAAGCAGCAACCAAAATAATTATCAATGATGTTGCGTTTTTGATTTTATATCTCGATCAATTAGTAAAATCAATGAACTTTTATATAAGAAAATGTAAATAAATGATTTACGATTTCCTTCATTGCTTTCTTAATTTTTTCCGTCTCTCTTTCTCTCTATATATACACAGAGAAAAAGAGAGAGCGAGACGCAAATTCCCTTCTCAAATAATAAGCGAATGCTTTTTCCTTGAAAATGCTCTTCATATGAAAAATATTAATTACCTTACACGCACAGTCTAATATTTCAATTAAATAATTTCTCACTTATTGTTTAACTTTATAAATTTACTTTATTTAATTAATAACGTATAATTTAATCAAAAAAGTATATTTACTTAATTTTACCTCAAGGTGTAATATTTATACCGGTATTTAATTTTCTTCTTTCACCATATGATGCTCATAGACGCAAAGCGACTTACATGTAATTGATTTTTAATATAAAATTCCTCCAAAAATTCATGATTAACTTAAATATGAAACCTTCAACATACATGTAAATATAATATCATTCAAATATACTGTTTTCAGAATACAATGTTGAATTCTGCTTGTACTTTTATGTGAATAATTATAATATTAAATTCTACTTGTACTTTTTTGTGAATCAGTAATTCATAATTTTATTACAATTCGAAAAACTTTTTAATTCCTATTTTTAATCCTATTTATCCTATGAAAATACAAATAAATAATTGAAAATTCTGTTAGACGTATAACTGAGCTAGTCAAGAACATGTCCTTGAATAGTTCTACAGGGTGTCTCAAAAAGTGTACTCACACTTAGAATGACGAGAAAAACTTTATTTCTGAACATAGAGTGAAATGGAAGGGCTTCGAATACAGAAGACAAATAGAATAAAGGAATCATGTTCGTTAATGTTCAAATTGATGACCATCATTGTCCAAAAAACGCTGATAACACGCACCAAGGTATTCGCAAACGTCACGAAACACGTCATTAGTAATATCGTGGCATCGTATTTCAATTTCCAATTTCAATGCATCAATTTTTCTTGGTTTGGTGCGATAAAACTTTGTCTTTGAGATATCCCCACAAAAAGAAGTCCATGGGCGTTAAGTCTGGTGAACGCGCAGGGTATTCAGTGGTACCTCTTCGCCCAATCCATTTGTCCGGAAAAGCTGCATCGAGGTGAGCTCGTACATCGCGATGATAATGGGGAGGTGCTCCATCTTGCTAAAAGTAAATCTCGTGGTCATCACCAAACATCTCTGCAATTTGTGGACCAACAAACTCCTGAAGCAAGTTGAGGTAAGTCTCAACAGTGACAGTTCCATGAAACAAATGGTCTTATGATGCCCAATGCGATTATCCCGACCACACTGTTACTCCTGGTAAGTTTACATGGTGTTCAAGTATTATATGAGGATTTGCAGGGCCCCAGTACGTGCAATTATGGCGCCATTTAATTTAAAGGATGCCTCATCGCTCCACACATTTTTTTTGGTGAAAACCCTGCATCTTCTGCACATTTTGTTAGGTACCATTCACAGAATTGAACTCTCCGGTCAGGATCATCTTCTTTGATAAACATGGATTAGTGTTGAAATGTAGCATTTCCATTGCAGACGCTTCATGATGCGATAGACGCTATCTCTTGAGATGTGTGTTTCCCGACCAGTTTGTCGAAGAGATTTCTGTAATAATCGAAAGAGTGTTTCCTGCACCTGCTCTTCTTTCCCAGGGCTTGTGGATGTCCGTGGTCGTCCACAACGTTTCTTGTTGACGTTCGGGACGGTGCCATCTGCTTCAAACTTGTCTTTGATGTGAGCAATGGTCCGGCGCGTTAGAGGCGGTTTTGTGTATTCCCTTCTATATCGTCTTTGCACTTCAATGGCGTTTTGGGTCTTCCAATAACAATTCAGGACAAACTTCCTCTCTTCTACGCTAAGTTGATTTCCTGCCATGCTGTGATATATTAATTACACTTGCAACTCAAAAAGGCGGCATGTTAACGACAGTTAAAGTGTGAGTCATTTTTTAGAGACACCCTGTATATATATATATATATACATAATATTAATTTTAAATGGAAAATATTATTTTCGTATAATTTGCATTGAGGTTTTAAAGTAAAATACTGTTTTATTTTAAATTAGCAATTCTAAATATTTAAACTACGTTTTTCTACTTTGCGATCAAAATTTCTGAATGTAAAATATTATTTTATTTTAAATACTGTTTTCTTGTTTTTCTATAAAAGGCGGTTAGATACTCAGATTCTTTTCATCAGAAATCAAAACTATAATATAGCATCTATTATGAAATTTGACTTGCCTTTTCATATATATAAAATCTTATAGACTTTATAGTAAGTCAAATTACGTTTTACTTAAAAAATAATGAGTTTTAAATTGAGTTTTTCATATAATGGATAAAATATATTGCATATTTTTATTACATTGGATTAAGCTGCATTGCTAATACAAATGTGTTTAAAACCACGGATATGCAGGAATAAAAGATATTTTAAATAACAATTATTTTTGTATTGATTGTTTTCCGTAGTTTTTATTCCTTCGGTCAGCCCTTATCAAAATCCAAATTCAGTGGAGTTTAAATAGAGAGTAAATGTGTAATTTAGGGAAAGAGCTTTCGTAATGCCCCAATAAAGAATTTATTTCGTGAGCAGTTTACCTGTTTGCTGATGTGGCTTTTGGTGAACGATTTTTTTACGTTTACTAGCGCCTAGGCCTAGAAGTCGAGGGTTGCATGAGCCAGTTGGTTGTTAAGGCAATGAAGTTATTTTTGTGTTGTACATATATTTGTTTTGCATATTTGTGTTTCTAAGACCACGCAAGTAGCGGTGGCTAAGTTTTGTTAAATTTTAATTGTAACTTAAAGAAATAATGTTAATAAACTTTTATTTAAGTTTTTACCTTTTTTCTGCGTTCTTGGGATTTCGAATTCTGAAACGTTCGAAGACAATATGCTAGAAGCACAGGAAGATTAAATATGTTGTAGTGAATAACTAATTAGGTTTAACCTTACACAGTCAAATAACCAATATGAAAAATGATAATTTCTATATGTGTGGTTTAATTTTGAATACTCTCTTTCCTTTTCTAAATAAATAGAGGTTACATAATTCAATAGCTAAGATTTTTCATCAGACTGCTGAACTACAATTGGTATATTTACCGTATTCTCACATGATTAATTAGCATCCTTAGATTTCACCTCTAACTAAAAAAAAAAAAAAAAAAAAAATCGAGAATATGCAGCAGATAGATTATCTACCATCTACAATATGTTTTTCATTTGCAGGCGTTGGGAAAGCAGCTGAAATGAACAGTGTACTTATAGCACACCGACACAAAATATTTGTTATGGGTCAAAAGGAACATATTTGACGTTTAGGACCTCTTATTTACTCTCAGTATCTGCACCATTTAAGTATTTACTTGCCACCACCGGCATAACCATCGTTGGTACCGGTATTCCCCAACATGGGGTTACCAAAGTCTGCAACCACAACTAAACATTTACAATCCTATATAACGTTCATCCAACAGCAATGGATTTTATACTCGGTTGTTAACTATATGCAAGTTCTGTTGTGTTGCCATATTTTTGTATGTATATATTCTTAATCATTCTCATGTATAAGCAGTACCCTGATTTTCATCTGCATTTTTGTGAGAAAAAGTACGGCTTATATACGAGAGAAAACGGTATTTAAATTTGATTTCCATTCATCAACTATCGTTCAAAATTTATAATTAATTATAACTTCTTTTATAACCTTGGGAAAAAAAACTATGTGTGAACAACTATCTTTCCTTAACCTCTTTTTTTATAAACCCATGATCCGATAATGCTCTTATGATAGCTTGAGATTTCTCTGTTACCCATGGTAGCTTATCAGTTTCTGAGTGCCTAAAAGAGAAGATATCTCAATCGCAAATTATCTTCTGCCACTTTTAAAATCTTCGATCATTAAGGGTCAAC